CGCACGCACGCACGCACACACACACACACACACACACACACACACACAACTCCACCCAGCAAAAGCTCTATCTATAGCCGAGAGGCAATTATAGGAGATTGCTGTGTCTGGTACCTGTCTCCCATGACTGTTTTGTGCGAGGTTTTCACTGCTCAATTACCCATTTTGTAACAAACATGAGAATAAGTGGAGGAGGAGGGTGAAGAGGAACAAAAAGTCGATGAAGAGGAAAAACGCGAAGATGAAAGCATCTCTAGATACTTAAACTAAGGACGAAGCGAAGCTTTGACTTTGTTGCCGCCATTCCGTGGCATGAGGCATGCTGAGCACTAAGTGACAACTGCATGGGCATCGGAATGGAGTAGGTGGCACGATAACGTACATATAGTTGCCCTAGTATTAGTCTCGTATGACGTCAGCATCACACCTCCACAGCCCTACGGGCAATCCAGTTGCAAAAAAGTTGCAAAAGTGGGCAGTCCCCCACGACCTGGATCACCACATTGCTGTCCTCTTGGGGGCTTGCGTACTCCTGTAACTCCAAGGGAGAATTCAGCAAAGGTCGAACTATTCTGAACCGACCAAGGAAGTGATCCAAAACCGGCACCCGGACTAGGCTACATCTCCTCCCGGGTCCACACCCCCCACAGTAATAGTTGCCCTGCGCGTTCACCACCCCTCTTTGCCTGTGGCAATGTATTGTATGCCGTAAACGGAGTCTTTCTCTTCTCCATCGCAATTCTCGTCTTTAAGCTGCCCTCATTTCAAGCCATTAGGCTTTCACGTTTGTGCCATTAAAATGTCAATCTTCTTTCATAGGGTTGCAATCATTTGTGCGGACACCCGACTGCCTCTCGTGGCTCGGCCACTACAGCAACCGTCGTGAGTCGTACTTACACTAAAGGATATGGTTCCATCGTCCAGGCCCATGAGCAACCAGCCTTTCGCAGACCACGCCCAGTGAGTGACAACCGGGTAGATGAACCCTGGACAGACGAAAAGAAATAAACAAATGCGAGCTTGCCGCGCACGCTGACGAGAGATTCCGCATCACACTCTTCAGGCCTTCCGTCACATTCTGATCATTTCAATCGTCGCTGTTCGACGGTGTTAAGCTCTCACATACCGGCTCCCGTAACCCTTTCTCTTTGCCACTTCATTCGGTCATTCGCATACCTGTGATGAGAGAGCTGTAGACGAGGTAGGCCTCGAAGGTGCATCGCTCCGCCACAGCGCCGGACACTATAGTGGCGGCAGTCGCCGCGAAGACGAAGTGCCACAGCCAGAGCGCGTAGTCGGGGTTCGGTATCATGCCGTTGAGGCCGCTGAAGAAGTACGTGTGACCTATGAAGCTGTTGCCCTCGCCGAACGCGAACGAGTATCCGACAGCCCAGTAGCAGATGCCGGCTACAACTGAAACAGACGGTTTACTCATCAACCACACGAGCTGTGTGTAGCCATACACAGAACAACAGAGCTATACAGCTATGCAACCAGCGAACTACACCGTATAGGCTGCTAACTGTCTCGAACTGCGACGTAAGGTGAAGTTACGATAAGTTAGATATTCTACTAGCGAAGACGTCTGTTAGCTAGACCAGAAGCACCCAGCATGATCACTTACTAAATAGCATGAGCAATATAGTGATAGATATATAGACACTTACACACGTCTACCATATTCTTGATGAGGATGTTTGTGGTGTTCTTGCTTCGCACGGCTCCACACTCCAGAAAGGCAAAGCCGCACTGCATGACTGCAAATAGATAGCAACTTACACGTTACCTGCTGTCGTTTGGTAATTCATGCCTCTGAGTTATGTCTAACCATCGCAACAAACTCATCGGAACGGCCGGCTTAAAATAACTATAGATTCAAACAAAATAAAATAAACAAGTGCAATTAATAAGATTTCAGGTAGTACGATTATTTTTAAATCGGCTGTATGTTGATTTTTCACATTTAATTTTGAAGTTGCCTATCTTTACCCGGTGTGTACGACGTAAGAAAAACGTTCTCGTTAGTTTAACTAAGAATTTACACATTACCCGAGAGATATAATGTTCATGTTGAATGTGGTTTGGTAATTCCATCACGTATACTCACAGAACACGAACATGGCGTTTATTAAGATGAAGAAGATGTCGGTGTTCTTGGCAAGGATCGCGTGTGCCGACTCCAGCAGCGCCACCTGTTGTCTCAGGAGCAGCAACTCTTCAACGACGTCGCTGACATAATCGAATGTCACGTCGCTTGTGATGTTAGTCGGTGCTCCGGCCATGAGGTCCATTCTGCATGACAGATGGCGAAAGCAATTTTCAGCCGAACGTGTCCTGTTGTTTTTCCGCAACCCGTCCTGGTGGCCGTTGTCAGAAACATCGTAAAGTTAAATGTTAAGCTAATGTTAAGACTAATTTTGTTTCTGACAACGGGTTTTTACGATTACCTTATTTTTATAGCGTACAGTGAGTGACAGATCTGTATTAAAAAAGGAAATCTCGAGTTTGGTGAAACGGCGGCTTAAGGAACCTGTTGCGATGAATGGTGGAAAGGAGAATTTCTCAAATACGTGTCGGCCTACTGCGTTGATAAATGCCTGCCCCGCATTAGGGCGGACCTCGCGACAAGCCGCTATACAATGCAACGTGGGCAAACAGGGCCAGGAACATTTACAGTTTCTCCGAAATTCTTTGTTATCGTGTCCACAAAGGACGCCATCGACTGCCCGGCTGTTGCATGTTTTTCTTCGCCTCGGTCTGACGTTGTATGTCTATAAGCCTACCATGTTTACACACATTCCATTCCATGACCGCGCCACGTCGGCTCTTCCGACGAACATCTTACCGGTCGCGAAGTTATTCATAACGCGAACCCGGCGCAAATGGCGATTTTTAAACTCGGGCATTTTACTAGTGCCCACTCGAGTTTTTTGACGATCCACGCGGATTTCCCTCCCAGTTTCGAAGCGTCTCCATCAAAACATCGGCGGTTAATGGTGTCATAGGTGATTTAATACGCAGCAGGTAAATAAACTACGCGAAGGTCTATTATCCCGCCAAAATCCGAAAGTTTTCCGAAAGTGACGTATTGTGTGTAAAAGTTTAATGACGATCTAATGAAGGCAGCTCTGCAAATAGTTTTAATTTTCAAGATGATTTGTCCTGTTCATTCGATTTTCGTTTTTTTGTCATGCAGTGTTTTGATTACTTGATGCGCAGGTTAGAGAGGAGTGGATGATAACAGGATGTTCATTCCTTGTCCATTATGAGTTGTCCATGCAATTTCGTTCATATTACTATAATAGTAATATAATATCCATTACAAAGCAGTGAAAGTTCAGCGTGGTCAAGTCACCGAGCTAATAATAAATCATTAACGTCACATTTTACAATCAAAAACCACTTTCATCTATATCGCAAATCAAATCTCGCATCGTAAAAATTTATTCATACAGCGGGAGTAAATCCCACACGATATTGTATGGTTTTATTACATAATGTTGGAGACCTAGACGATGTTCATAAAAATACTGTATGCTATTATCTAGGTCATCTGCTTAGAATGCTGCATGGGCGCCTTAGGGAAGAAACAACAGCAAAGGAAAAACATTCCTTACGTTGTAACAGTTATTTTCGTTTTGCTATGCTGCTAAGCGTGATATTTTGAGTAAAAATATTAGGCAAAAAAGCATGCTTTTTTTTTTATAAGAGGCTAGTGGTCGCTAGATTCGCAGTGTACTCACTTACTAATACTGCAAACTTTATTTCAAGATTACGACTCCTACAAACATATGCAGGTCAATAATGAATTAAGTCATTTCTAAAACAACAAAATATATAAACGAACTCACTCAAACCCAAATAAAAAATGGCGGATATATATGTTGTACGTGACACAAATTTTTTTAAATGGAACTGCAATATATCAAAATAATCAAACGGCACCAGCAACTTAAAAAAGCATGAACACCAATAATGGGTTGATCTAAAGATTTCTGTTTGCGAATACCAATTAGGGTGAACTGCACATCTTAAAACAGCAAATTGTAAATATCACTACACAATCTCTATCGTAGACATTTAAGAACGATCTTGTTCAGAAATCTTTTATTATCTATAAGAGACTAAAAAGTCTAATTACTTAGCCAGCGACGTACGTAACTTAAATGTGTCGTAGGGGTTTGATTGACGATAATCGCTACTTGATGTCAACGCAAAAACACGTAATAAAATAAAAATTTATATATAATGCTTAACTTATGGCGCCCTGGACGACCGTGGCAGCTCCAACGCAGCACTTACACCTGTACCAGCAGCATCAATAGTAGCTAACACAAATTTATGCCGCTTAAATGATCTTCTTCTTCTTCGTCGTCGTCGTCGTCGTCGTCTTATTCTTCTTCTTCTTTTTCTTATTCGTGTCCTTCTTCTTCTTCTCTATCTTTAGTCGCACAATACACTTCGGAGCGCATAGAAACTAGCTAGACGTACCTGGGCAGGTGCGACAGATTCCCGCACGGAGCTCTCACTGGCTTGCTAGCGATTCAGGACGACGACGGGCCGTCGGCGGAAGATGCGACGAATACAATGCTGTAATTACGGGGCGCCCGTCGGGATCACAGCTTCACGTTACCAAGGCAACGATGCAGCAATCACTGCGAATCTGCGCATGCATCCGTTAATAACAAGCGCATGACATATGCGCGCGCGCGTTTGCATTCGTTCAAGCAAGTTCGTGTAGCGCTCTCGCTGCGCGCAACAAAACCTGTAAGCGGACCACAGTCGTGGCGTAGCTTTTCGTTATAGAGTAACAACGAAAGCGCCTCTATTCACGGCACGGACATTCAAACCTCTGGCTATACCTACACCCACCCACACACGCACACACACACACACACACACACACACACACACACACACACACACACACACACACACACACACACACACACACACACGGAGACACGTGACATGCGCTGAGCTAGCACTGATTTTACGAGCAAAGTAAATATTTCTCTCCCGGGTGCAGATTCGCCGCCATTCTCCGCTCGTAGGCTAGTCGAGCTACACCTGTCGAGGTGCAATACGCGGATTTGTTTATTTTTTTGGGGTGTGCGTATTGATGGGTACGTGAACGCCCCACCCCACCCCAACATTCAATGTTAATCGGTGATAGCAAGAAGGTATTAAAAGATAAATAGGTAAGAAGCTATTAAACTGACATATTATGCGTTCGTGCTCACCCTACATGTACGCGAAATCGTGGCAAGACGAAACTCTATTCGTACAATTCGTGACGAGTTTGTCTCGAATTTACGTTATCAACGTCACGCATAATTCTAGGCGTTCAGGGAAATTCTGTTTTGTATTATTGGGGGCATCCGTCGTACAAGGATGCCCAGCTAAGCTAAAAGAAAATATTTGGGTATCCTTGGCACGGGAACTCGAAATCAATGGTAATCCCATGTACCGTCCAACAGTCTCGAGTTCACAAAGGTAAAAGGAAATTCTGTATTAAACAATGTCCGCCGTTGCGTAGCGAGACAGCAGACGTACGCTAGTCGTTAACGTTGCAGTGTGGCTGGGCCAGTCACTGCGATTTTGACGCTCGAATGTTACGGTTGGTCGTTGTCGCTGCAGTACGTCTGGGCGGCTGGGCTTTTACGCGACTAACATCGCAACATCGCAATTAACATCGCTGCGTTAGCAAACTCAAACGACGTGAAACTCTTGCACTTGTTTCTGACAATTATAACAATGGCAGTAGTTCGGATTTAGGAGCATGCATGTGATTCGCACGAATAGACAGCTAATGTGAGGTTCACAAAATGAAATGAAAATGAAAATGAGGTTGTGAAGGTTCACAACAGAGACAGAAAGAGAAGAGCGGCTTAAAACTAGAACATTTAGGAGCAGACGTGGGAAAGGTGGCACGCATCGGCTTTCAGAAAATACATAAAATACTAATCAAATTCAGGTCGGAACATTCTGAAGGCAGCTGAGACCATCTTAGGTGAAGTAAACGTTAGGAAGAGCATGTCTGTGAACGAAACATCCGTAATCATGAAATCCGGAATTATGAAATCCGGAATCATGAAATCCGGAATCATGAAATCCGGAATCATGAAATCCGGAATCATAAGGTCTGGAATTTATTATGAAATTCGGAATCATGAAATCCGGAATCATGAGGTCTGGAATTAATCATGAAATCCGGAATCATGAAATCCAAAATCGTGAGGTCCGGAATCATAAAATCCGGAATCATGAGGTCCGGAATCATAAAATCCGGAATAATGAAATCCGGAATCATGAGGTCCGGAATCATGAGGTCCGGAATCATGAAATCCAGAATCATGAAATCCGGAATTATGAGGTCCGGAATCATGAGATCCGGAATCATGAAATCCGGAATCCAGTGATAATGAATTTCGGGGGAATGAAGCAGCACCAAAGATGGCGATGGGAGAGGACGAGGAAGGATGTTGTAACATTGGCATTTGGGAAAGGAAGGTGAGTGAATCCAGCAAAGAAGCGAACACACACGCGCGCTCCCACGAATGCAGTCACAGACGTACACAGCGAGAGCGGAGAGAGGGGTAGATGGGATGGCGAGCCGGAGCTGAGAAGGAACGAGAGAGATTGATACAGACAGAGGGAGAGAGATAGAGAACGAGAAATAAATAAATAAATAAATATATATATATATATATATATATATATATATATATATATATTATAGAGAGAGAGAGAGAGAGACTGAGAGAGAGAGAGACGAGACGAAGAGAGAGAAAGATAGCCAAGAAGGAGGAGAGAGAGGGAAAGAGGAGAGGATGAGAGATGCGTTGGTATGCCCCTCCGCATCATGCGACGCTGTGCCTTCTTGAGCCAGCGTGGGTAGCTACTTAAGTTCAGTTTGGAGATGAGAGAGAGAGATGGGAGGAGAGAGAGAGAAGGTCAAAGGCGTGCGCGAAGCAGATAAAATAGTGCGCGCTTTTGGGTGATAGCGGCGAGCCCGGCGAGGGCGAAGCCACATAGGGATGGGGGGGTCTGGGGGATGCCTCCCCGTGAAAATTTGAATCTACAGGCAAGATGGGGGCATCTGTGTGCATCTGAGCATTGTGATCTTAGCACAAAAAGGTGTTTCACTGTAATTTTAGAAACAATACATGATGATTAAAAGATTTGGTTGGCTTAACTCAATTAATTTGTTGCTACTTTAACAGTGGAATAATCTTTGTAAACTTCCTGAAATACTTCCCATTCAAGACATCTGCATACATTGTACTGGTGCTCACACGAACTGTTAATATTTGCGTCATTGAAACGCGCTGACCGAGCAAAGCATGCTAACCTTCAATATTACGCAACATTACGCTTATATAACACCAACGCATGCTGCTGCAAGAATTCAGGCAGTAGATGTTGAGCCGAAGGAATGTGTGGCAGAGTTCTGGATATTAAAATTTATAGCTAAGGAGTGACTGCAAGTGGGCGGTGTACGGGATTAATTTGCGACCAGGGGAGCGGGGGGTCTAACCGCTAAGACATTCCCAGCTAACAAGTTATGTTTCTTGAATGCTTATGGGAATGTTTCTTTTAGGTAACATATTCTAGTAACGTTCTGATTAATAACGTGTTTAGAAAGAGTTTTCCAGCTTCTGAGGCACGTTTTTGCACGCGAAGGGGGGGTCTGGGGCGGCCCTCACCCAGAAGAAATTTTGAAATTAGGACCCTCAGCATGCGTTTTCTGGCGCGGCAGGCGGGGTTTCGCGACGCCCTGCCCGACCCCTGTGGACACGCCCTGGACCTGGACCTCTGTTGACCTGGTCTCTGCGTTATAGGGCTAGATTACACGTATATATACATGATATTATGTCGGCAAGACGTTATAATTATGAAGTTTTGGTTACGGAAATTTGTATGGCTGAAAATGCCGCGGCGGCGCCGCGGCTGCCGGCGAGCGGAGAAGAGGACATGAGGAGAGAGAGAGAGAGAGGAGTAGAGATGATGCGCGATCTGGACACTCCTGCATTTTCCCTGGATCGCCGTGACGTGAGCTGGAGAACAGATTATAAATAATATTATGTAGTGTATATTAACCAAGAGTACATATGAATTATGTTATTACATCTGATAATCTTGTTATGTACTTTTGATATTATGATATGTGTTCTCGGGACAGCTGAGAGCAATGTTTGCAGCTGAAACCAGTATGTGCTGGCACCTGGACTTCAAATGTGGCATTTCGAGCAACACAGACTCATCGGCTTGTACATGCGCGCGTAGTTGTTTAGATAGTTCTAAAAGCATCGGTGTGTCCGTGGTAGGCGAGAGGAAGGGCGTTATAAAGAGATGAGTGTGAGAAGAGGCGCAAGACCCGAGCTGAAGGGCTTGTAATAGGCAGAATACACGCGAAAACAGACGGTGGCGCGATCGGTGCGACCAGAGCGGTACGGTGACGTACGTGACACAGTTCACATGCTCCTCATCCCGGGTACCCTGGGTCTTATGGTTGTACGGTGTGTCCATAGAAATAGATAGATAACTAGAATGTGATTGTCCATAAATTGACCCAGCGAGCGACGCTAGCGGCCCTATCGAGACGGGAGCACTACGCGGAAATCCGTGTTACATTGACTAACTATAGCGTCACCTGCTCTTTCGAATCGTCCCAAACTTTTAATACAGCAGCAATTCTAAGTATACTTATGCAATATTGCTCTTTAAGGTATTAGGGCCCCTGGAAAACAGTTTTTTCCATTGTAACCTCTGGAATCTATGATTATTGTTTATAATTGTGACTAGGTCAGGACGGTACTTAGAAAGTAGCATTCGGCCAAACTGTTACTAGACGGTCCGCGCGTCGACAGTTCCCTCGCGTGTACACTGACACCGCGCGTGGAACTGTCGAGCGAGCGACAGCTAGCTGTTCGCGGACGCGGGTAATCCACAGAAAAGTTACCACTGTACCTATTTGATTCCAACAAAATTGACACTTGTTGCAGAAAATTTCAATTTTACATCAATGAGACAGTTACATAGAAGGCAGTAATCTAGGAACTTTAGACAGTAATACGTTGGAGACGAATCTATCAGTATCACGGTGTCAGTAATTTTTATTCTTTATGTAAATATTATATATATATATACAACAAAAGTAACAGGAATGATTGTGCAACACTATGTGGAATTGATCAATATCTTGATAATCGACCGATACACATGCAATTTCTTAAAACTACTACATACATGTGGTAAGATTGATTTTATAATAAACAGATTTGTTGGAAACCTTTACAAAATAAATTGATGCTAAGTCTTCCCTAGTCTGCATCCTCTAACAGTTCACATCTGAGTTATAGTATATAGTTACTATTATGATTATTTAAAAATTAGTTATAGGTTGTGTAATATAATTGTTCATTGTATTAACTTTTATTCGATATAAGATCAAACCATGTAAGTGTTAAGCGGGCTTATGTCGGCCTTTGCGACGCGACGCCGAT